CTTATTTTTATCTTATTTTTTTAAATTATTGGACCTGCAGTGTTATTACAAGTGATCTTGGCGACATCGCCGAGATTACTCGTAAACGAACGAGCGGCTTCCCCGTTCTACATTTGGCCCTGCTTGCCTGAGGCAGGGCTAAATGTAGAAAAACAACTACCCGCCCGGTGCCCGGAACTGCACATCCCAGGCATCGTGGGATTCTACATCCTTGCCGCCCCTCTGCTCCCTGCCGCCCCGAGGCCGGGCCTAGGTGGCCTTGTGGGAAAAAGGCCCTGAGTGTAAGTAGTTATGTACAAGACATTTCTATACATACTGTATGTAGCATATTTTGATTGCCCTATGTACAGAGATAGTGAACAGCTGATCATTGCACCTTTTACAAAGCAGAACTCCAGGCAATAACAAGATGAAAATCAATAGTTCACTAAAAGATAAAATAACAGAACCAGTGTTTGCTGCAATATTCACCTTCAATCCAGAGCTGTCCCATGCAAGTGACATGGGAGTGAGCGAGCTTGGAGCGGTGACTACTTTACAACACCACAAGGACCATGGGGAACAAAAGTAGCCACCCTCCAGAAGGAAGGACAGTGTCAGCACCAATTCAGAGATGATTGGAGGATCTACAGCCGAGTGATACACAAATAAGATACATTTTTGTTAATAGTTATGGTACATTTTTGAAGATTTGACTCGAGTTTAGTAATTTGTGTCCATCCTTGTTTACTCTATATAGAATAAAAATCAAACTTTGCTTTTGATTCAATGGAGTATTTTGAATAATAAATCAAAATGGAGTGGACAAAAATGTCCCTTCCTGGATTTAGCTTAGCAAAGAGGTCAGAGCCTTCCATTGGATAATTACCACAGTTTAAGCAATGTTATGTGCCCAAAAAATGAGGTCAGCTGCACCCTGAATATACTGAATGTTCAGGTTTTTCCATCAATGGATTTTCTCTTCCCTGATAGCACATTGGCGTAACAATCGCCATAGCGAACCAGGCGGCCGCTATGGGGCCCGGGCACAGGGGGGCATCCCTCTGATGCCGTGTGGGCCGCTATGGCATGTAAGGGTGCTGGCTGTCACTGACGCAGCTCAGCAGCCACGTTTCCCCGCACAGCCGCTGCGGAGCTATGTCAGTGACAGCCAGCAGCTACGGCAGAAAAAGCCAGCATTCACAGTGAAGGAGGAGGCGGGGCCCGCCTAAGAGCAGCCCCCCCTCCTCTTACATCACTGGCCAGAGACCTAAGAGCAGGTGTGGCCAGTGATGTAAGAGGAGGAGGGGCCCGTCGATAGAAGTGGACACTCCCCTCCGGGTGTCACCCAGCCTCGGGACCCCCCTGCTCGGATGCTTTTAGCTTGGTGTTTTGGGTTGTTAACCTGTTGGAGGACTCGTGACCTCCGACTGAGACAGAGTTTTCTGGCACTGCGCAGAACTTTTCACTCTAGAATCCTTGGTAGTCTAGATTTCATTGTGCCAGGTGCACCAAAGCAGACCCAAAACATAACCTGCCTCCTTCATGTTTCACAGTAGGTATGGCATTTTTTTTTTTTTAAAGCTTCATTTTTTTCATCTGTTGACATAGAGCCGATGTGACTTGCCAAAAAGCTCCAGCTTGGTCTTATCTACCCAAAGGACATTCTGCCGGAAGCATTGTGGCTTGTCAATATGCATTTGAGCAAATTCCAGTATAGCTTTTTTATGTTTTTCTTTCAACAGTGGAGTCCTCCTGGATCTTCTTCCTTTGAGCCCACCCTCAAAAAGTGATGGATGGTGTGATCACACACTGATATGCCTTGACCTTAAAGTTCAGCTTGGATCCCTTTGTATTTCTTGGCTCATTGTCTACATTGACATTCTCCTTTTGGAGCCATTATCCTCCTCCGGCCATGTCCAGGAAAGTTGGCTATACTACCATTGACCTTAGGTATTCCTAAATATTTGCAACTGTAGTCACAGGAACATTAAGCGGCCTGGAGATGGTCCTCTAGCTTTTACCTTTGGCATGTTGGGCTATACTATCATTTTCTTTTTGACCTCCTCAGGCAATTCTTTCCTTTGCTTTCTCTGGTCCATGTTCAGGTTGGTGCACACAATGATACCAAACAGCAGGGGGACTTCAGTAACAGTGATGACTTTTCTCCATTTAAATGGAGTGACTGATCACAAGATTGAAGAGACGCGTGGTACTAATTACAGAAAACAGTTACCTCTAAATATCAATGTGATCCAAGTATTTATAGGGGTGCCAACAATTCTGTCCAGGCCATTTGTAGAGGTTTACACTGGTAGGTACACACTCTGCAGTGCCCATCCATTGAAGCTAAGCACACAGACCCAGTACACATTGATCAGTGCCTATCCATGTGTTCCATATATACTGACATGTGTTCAGCACTGGTACACAGTGTGCAGTGCCAATCCATAGGTGCAATACGTACTATGTATACCCCATCCATTGGTAGAATCCACATGGTCCTGTGTCCAGTACTTGTACACACTTTGCAGGGTCCATACATTGGTGCACAATTTTCATACTTTTTTGCCATGTACTGCCCTGTGTCTAAGCCTGGAAATCACAGTGCCCACCCATCGTACACACAGCCCTGTACATCTGTGTTATGGACAGAGCCCTAGTACACACAAAGTGCCAGCACATCGGTGCCATACACACACAGTTCCTGTACATCTGTGTTATGGACAGAGCCCTAGTACACACACAGTGCCCGCACATCGCACACATACACAGCCCTGCTACACACACAGTGGCTGTACATCGGTGCCATACACACAGTGTGCGCACATTCCCAGATAGCAAGGATAACTTGCCGCAAACTTGTGTCAGGGTTAAATTGTAATTCTTGTTAACTTGCTGCACACATTCCTGGCACGTTGTAGACTTGCAGAACACTCGCAGCACAAGTTCTAGTTGACACTTTTTGAATTTATAGAAAATTTGCTTGGCAAGTCTACAGCAAGAGTCCTGCAGGTCTTAGTAAGAGCTCTGCAAGTGTACAGCACTTTTATTGATCTGGAGACATGTGCAACAAAATTGTGAAGCTTGGCAAGTCTGCAATAGTTCAGTAAGTCATTTTCAAACTTGCAGCTCAATTGCTTGCTATCTGGGTTGGTGCCATACACACAACCCTGGTACACACACAGTTCCTGTACATCGGTGTTATGGACAGAGCCCTAGTACACACACAGTGGCCAAACATCACTCCATACAATGAGTCCAATATGTATGTATATATATATATGCCATGCACACATCCCTGGTACACACACAGTGCCCATATATCTATGCCATACACACAGTGCACAATAAATCTATGCCATACACGCAGCCTGGTAGACACAGTGTCCATATATCTATGCCATTCACACAGCCCTGGTACACACACAGTGCCCATATATATATGCCATGCACAGAGCCCTGGTACACACACAGTGCCCATATATCTATGCCACGCACACAGCCTTAGTACACACAGTGCCCATATATGTATGCCATACACACACACATTGCCCATATATGTATGCCATACACACACACATTGACCATATATCGCTGCCATACACACAGCCCTGGTACACACACAGTGCCCATATAGCTATTAAGGGTCACCATTTGGTAAGGTGGGAACCCAACGTCAACAGCTATGCCATGCACAGAGCCCTGGTACACACACAGTGCCCATATATCTATGCCATGCACACAGCCCTGACACACACAGTGCCCATATATGTATGCCATACACACACATTGCCCATATATCTATGCCATACACACACACACAGTGCCCATATATCGCTGCCATACACACATCCCTGGTACACACACAGTGCCCATATAGCTATGCCATACACACAGCCCTGACACACACAATGTCCGCACATCCCTGGTACACACATCGCGCAGCGCTCCGCTGGCCCCGCGCATTGTCTATGACTATGTGAACCTGCCCGAGTCGGGGAAGGTAATAGACTGGAAGTGTGACGTCAGCGGGTGTCAGCTGACCCGCAGTCCCCGCCCCCCTCCCCGGCAGGTCTTTACTCATGTAATCCCCTCTGTACGGGGCTCTAATGCTCTGCCAGTCTGTATCGGAGAGCCCGCTCCGGGGACGAACTCACACACACACGGCGCTCCGGGCGGATTTAGCGCCATGAAAGTCTCCCAGTCGGAGGGGTGAAGTTGATGTGTGCAGCAGGTCCCATGTCCTGGCTCGGGTCCCCCCGGAGGAGCTCAGCAGCAGCAGCATCCTCCTCATCATCCCTGCACGGGAAGAAGTTCGATGCATCCACATGCAGGATGGAACTAAAACGATCGCTCTGATGTCTCCGGAGTTTCGCTATGCATCGCACCTTTCTACATAGAGCCCCGACCTTAAGCCTCTGACAGCCTGACCTCCTTCCCACCACTGCCCTGTGGCCAACTTTGCCAAGCACTGGCATGCACCAACATTGGCATCTGCAGATCCCCCACTTGCACCTACTGCCCCCCATCACCTGCTCCTTCCTAATGACCTTAGCAAAGACCTTGATGACTCCTCTTTCTTCTATTCTTTTTTGTGCTGCAGGTGAGATGCATGCGGCATCCTGCAGCGTGCGGTCCATTTAGTCGTTGAGCCCACGGACTGCTCTTAGACCACCTTTGCCCCGTCCATCCTTCCTAAGGTGCCATGCCTGTGTCTTTCCGAGGTGGGCGTCCCCGTCGGGCTTCCGAGACTGCCCTTCGGAAGGTCTGATGTTGTTTCGGGGGTCCGTCCCGGATGTAGGAACCGGATTCCGGAGATTTCTGACCCCGATCTTTAAACATGAATGGACTTAGTGCCTGCTCTCGAGAGCGTGGTGGGCGGCCAGGTCCCCTCTCTTGCCGTTTGATGTAGGACGCCGCCGCGTCAGGATCATGGATGCCGAGGCGGGATGCCACCTGTTCCGCTGACCGGTGTTTGCCAAAAAGGAGCACCTAGCCGTCTTCTTTTTATTTTTTTTTGGTTTTCGAGCAGCCAATGAGATTGGCTAGTAAAATGACCACAGATGTTTCTCAATAAACTTCAAAGACGAAGACAACACGAGCTGTACAGATCTACCATGGAACTGTCGGAGGTGAGGTGCTCAAGTGCTAATGAGGAACTGTACACCATCAACAAGACCCCGACCATTAACAGCAACACCAGACCCAAGAGATTGCTTTGGCAGACTGCGGTGAGACATATCACCGAACAAAGGTTTATTAACGAACAAAGTAGCGCTAAGACCCTCTCTTCCGATGATTCCTACACGAACAATGCCACCAGGCAGTTTGGAAAGGCGGCCGCTGGGGACAAGCACAACAACGGGGGCACCAAAGTCTTTCCGGAGAGGACCAGTAGTGACCTGGGCTTCCTTCACTTAGACTGTGCCCCCAGCAATTCCGATTTCTTTTTGAACTGGGGCTACACCTACAGGGGGGTCATCTTTCCGACACTGAGGAACTCGTTCAAGTCCAGAGACCTAGAAAGGCTCTATCAGCGCTATTTTCTAGGTCAACGTCGCAAGTCGGAAGTGGTGATGAACATCTTGGATGTGCTGACCAAACTCACCTTACTTATCCTTCATCTCACGTTGGCTTCTGCGCCCATGGACCCGATCAAAGGCATCTTGTTGGGCTTTTTCACTGGAATTGAGGTGGTGATCTGTGCCTTAGTAGTTGTCAGGAAGGACACAACATCTTACACATATCTGCAGTTCAGTGGAGTTGTGACGTGGTTGGCCATGGCGACCCAGATCCTGGCAGCTGGTCTAGGATATGGCCTTCTAGGGGACGGTATTGGCTACGTTCTCTTTACTCTTTTTGCTACCTACAGCATGCTTCCATTATCACTTACCTGGGCTATCTTGGCTGGATTGGTAACTTCCCTTCTACAAATAGTGATGCAGTTGGTAATTCCCAGACTCGCAGTGGCTTCCATAAATCAGGTATGTTGCCTGTTGGGACATGGGTATTTGTGATGTCCGCTTTTGGGCAATCTGAAACATCTGCACAGTCAGTGATTTAATGTGTTCACCTTTGGTAAGGTGCCTTCAGAATTGTGATGGTAGGAGGAAGATCTGCCCAATCAGCTATTTGTGCATGAACATGCATGCTTATGTTGGGCCCTTTGGGAATATCAGCTATTGTGCATGAACCTTCATCCTATCTCATTACTTCCTTTTCCCATGACCAGCTAACCAAGGGGTGCTTGTATAGCTCAACCAGAGGGTACCTACACAAGAGGCATATTACCCATAGATAACCAAAACCATTGTGTGTGTCATGCATTTGGGCACGCCGAAAAGATCTGTAGATTATTGTCAGGAAGAGATAAGGAACGATTCCTCCAATGGCCACGATTATTAAGCATCATTGATGGGTCTTGTCCTTCACTAGGTAAATTTTAGATCCTGCAGAGATTGCACAGTTCCTCTGTGTCTCCCATGTGCAAAATTCAATTACTATTTCCTCTCAGTTCTTCCTCACTTTTTTTTTTTCTTCCCTTTCACACTCAGTGATGAGAACCCTTCCGACAAGGAAGGTGACTTTGCAGTGTCATCAGTCGTCTTGTTAAACATTGAAGTGTGTGTTTAATCCAACACCGCTTAATATAAAGGGCACTTGATCTCTCTTTTGATCTAAGGCGATAAAATCCTTTATCTGAAATTGAATCGAAAGCATAAAAAGTTCTCCTTAGAAAGATACAGATGACATTTTCACAAGATATTGAACCGGCTCTGGTTTGTCCATTGTTCCTAATAATGTAACGTATTAGAGCATCGATAACAATAATCATATAATACAATGTATATGGAACACCCAAGACTAATATTGCGGGTAAGACTGCCAATGTGCTGGGAAATGTATGACACCTAAGACAATGGAACAAGCTTTTGGTTGTACATTAGCTGTGCGTGATTTAGGGTAACACCATTCGGTTGGACAATTGTACTTATGTATAATCTCAACACAAATATAAATGCGTATTTACCCCAGGGAATAGGTGTAGACCTAGGGCTCTCCCCAAAGGGAATACTATTGATGGCTGTTTGGGGTATGTTACCTTCTGCATCTTTGCTATTTTAATTATATTTGAGATATTGAAGAAATCACAATAAATATCTATCAGTTACATTGTTTCCCTTTTATGTGTCTGTTTCTGTCCGGGCCGAGCTTTCTGAATAGGGAATTACCTTCTATTGTACAGTTCAGGATTTTGTTCTTTCGTACTTGTGTTAATTGGAAGGTCAAAGTTCGTTACAAGGTCATCCTCCCTTGATGATCTGGCGGTCTGCTTTCTGCCAACGTAGGGTCGTGGTGGCCCGTTGTGTCTTTTAAACAGGTAGATAACATGGAGACACTATACATTTTTTTGCAGGTATGGGTTCTATCAGCATTGTAAACTCAGATTAAACACGTTCAAAGGAACAAGTGTGTATTTATGGCCATTGAAATGTACAATGCATAATGGTGCTTTAAGGGGGGAAATTAATTTGGGAAAACCTGCTGCTCTTTGGCCAATGAGAAGACCTATTGCTCCGAAAAATATGCATGATGTCTTCTAGAGGAATGGGAGCTGTCCGCAGCTTTTGGTTCTGAATGTTCAGTTTTGTCTTAGAACAATTAAAATAATGGTTCGTTTGGCTCCCTCTACTGGACACTATGGCTCACCACTGCCACACATTTCCTTATAGACATCAGTTTAAAGTAGAACAAAAGGCTATGACAGTATAAAGAAGTACAACATTCAGTTACTATGGGATGCACAAGCCTCATAAAATTGACAAAAATCTTCCTTAACTTTCCCTGATTAAGTCAAATCCTCCTACATCTGTGTCTTACATGCTCCCCCTCCTAGGCACTGCAGCTCACAGGAGGGGGGTTAGCAACAGGTACATTGCCGTCAGAAAGAAGTGGGTGGGACTAGGTGTGGTTAGGTGTTGATTGATAAGCTACAGGCCTGTGATTGATGAGAGACAATGCTGATCGCCACACCCCTGCAACATCTCATCCCACGGTAGCACAAGCAGGCACAGCCTACATGAGGGTGACAACTTTGTTCTGATTTCAGGAGCAGTGGAGCATAGTTGCTACACCTTTACATGAAGGTGCATTAGATGGACAGGCTCAAGTGGTATTTGTAGAACTTTGCATGGGGACTAAGAAAAGTTCAGATGGACTGAGTCAAAACTTCCTTCATTTGTGTTTCACTTGCCTTCTCTCCAAGACACTGCAGCTCACAGTGGGGAAGGGAGGAGGGGGGGGGGGGCCAGCAATAGGTACATTGCCGTCAGAAAGAAGTGGGTGGGACTAAGTGTGGTTAGGTGTTGATTGATAAGCTACAGGCTTGTGAATTATCACAGACAATGCTGATAGCCACACCCCCTGGAACATCTCATCCCACTGTAGCACAAGCAGGCACGGTCAAAATGAGGGTGGCAACTCTGCACTGAATTCAGGAGCAGCGCAGCATAGTTGCTACCCCTTCACAGAAAGCTGCATTAGGCAAACAGGCTCAACAGGTATTTGTGGAACTTTGCAAAGCCTTCATTTGTGTCTCACATGCCTTCCCTCCAAGACATTGCAGCTCACAGTAGGGGGAGAGGTTCAGCAACAGGTACACTGCTGTCAATCCAGAAAGAAGTGGGCGGGACTAGGTGGGGTTAGGTGTTGACTGACCAGATACAGGTTTGAATTATCAGAGACAAAGCTGATAACCACACCCCAGTAACATCTTCTCATCCCACTGTAGCACAGCCTACATGAGAGGGACAACTATGCTCTAAATTCAGGAGCACTGCCATCCCTTCACAGGAAGCTGCTATAGATGGGCAGGCTCAAGAGGTATTTGTGGAAGTTTGTAGGGGGACTAAGAAAAGTGCAGATGGACTTATAATTAAGTGCTGTAGCACATATACAGTGTATATATATATATACATATATATACATATATATATTTTATTTTTTTTCTAAATGGGCGACTGTAGTTTGGTAATCCTATGTTGTTCATTTTTGAATTATTGGATGCATGATGAATGCACAGTTATATTGAATTGGTGTTTATATTGTAGTTTGATTATGACAAAACATCTCCCAGTGCTTTTCAGAATACATAAAGCATCCATATCAGTCTCTGCTCCTAAAAATGCTTACACTGCAATGGCCCTACTATAGACACCAGGTCCAGTCTGGGTGGAAGATAATTATCATGCCAGTATGGTTTTTTGTTTTTTTTTGGTTGGTGGAAAAAGAAGTGTCAGGAGATAACAAAAACAAACACAGGGAGATCATACAATCTTCAATGACAAAGTGTCCCTGTTAGTCACTTAACATTAAACCTCAGCTCTTCAGGGCCACATTGCTTACAGCTAATCAACCATGTTGCATTGGGAACCGAATGATGTGTATGCATTGCCGTGGTCTCAAAAGCAGGACACATTGAACTATCTATTGCAGAGCTGACATTTGGGACTGCGTACGTAACCAATTGTAGTTATCATTTGGCAAACTCAAGATATACACTATATTGCCAAAAGTATTGGGACGCCGGCCTTTACACGCACATGAACTCTAATGGCATCCCAGTCTTAGTCTGCGGGGTTCAATATTGAGTTGGCTCGCCCTTTACAGCTACAACAGCTTGAACTCTTCTGGGAAGGCGTCCACAAGGTTTAGGAGTGTGTCTATGGGAATGTTTGACCATTTGTGAGGTCAGGTACTGATGTTGGATGAGGAGGCCCGGGCTCGCAGTCTCCGCTCTAATTCATCCCAAAGGTGTTCTATCGGGTTGAGGTCAGGACTCTGTGCAGGCCAGTCGAGTTCCTCCACCCCAAACTCACTCATCCATGTCTTTATGGACCTTGCTTTGTGCACTGGTGCACAGTCATGTTGGAACAGGAAGGGGTCATCCCCAAACTGTTCCCACAAAGTTGGGAGCATGACATTGTCCAAAATGTCTTGGTATGCTGATGCCTTAAGAGTTCCCTTCACTGGAACTAAGGGGCCAAGCCCAACCCCTGAAAAACAACCCCAAACCATAATCCCCCCCTCCACCAAACTTTACACTTGGCACAATGCAGTCAGGCAAGTACCGTTCTCCTGGCAACCGCCAAACCCAGACACGTCCATCGGATTGCCAGACAGAGAAGCGTGATTAGTCACTCCAGAGAACACGCCTCCACTTCTCTAGAGTCCAGCGTGGCGGTGTGCTTTACACCACTGCATCCAACGCTTTGCATTGATGTAAGGCTGATGTAAGGCTTGGATGCAGCTGCTCGGCCATGGAAACCCATTCCATGAAGCTCTCTACACACTTTTGTTGTGCCAATCTGAAGGTGACACGAAGTTTGGAGGTCTGTAGCTATTGACTTTGCAGACAGTTGGCGACTTCTGCGCACTGTGCGCTTCAGCATGTACTGACCCCGCTCTGTTCATTTTACGTGGCCTACCACTTCGTAGCTGAGTTGCTGTTGTTCCCGGTTGCTTCCACTTTGTTATAATACCACTAAAAGGTGACTATGGAATATTTAGTAGCAAGGAAATTTCACAGAACACCTGAATCCAATGATTTGGAGGGGCGTCCCAATACTTTTGTCAATATAGTGTACTTCAAATGATAACCATGTAGCAACTCCATAGAGAAACATTGGATGCATGAGGTTTGTTTAGTAAAATAATATATAGAGGACATATGGTTTACACATTGCAGTAACCAGTCAAAAAATACCCTTTAAAGCAGATCTTTGGGAATTTGAAGTGCGGGGTTAACTTCTCGTTTTGGTCTGGGAAGGGGCAATAACAAAACAGCCACATAGCAACTGCAAGTCTCAGCATGCCTTGTGACTACTTCGCAGAATGCTACCCGGCTTTGGCTTAAGCCAACTTTGAGACGTTAATGAGATTAATGTATGCTTGAAGTTTTCCTTCTAGTAGTGCACGAGGAGAT